ACACTGGCCATACATTTTTAAATGTAGGTTTCTCAAGAATCTACAAGGAATAAGATGAATTTCATTATATAATAAAATGAGCAGATATGAATAGATTTGCCATGTAATTGGCAAAGTTGAGAATATTCTTACCAGGAGAAAATCAAATTAAACATTCACATGAATGTTCAAAATCACATTAAACATTTTGAACATTCAAAACAGACATAACTGTCATATTTATATTTAAAAACTCCCTAACACACACATAAATACGTTTTAGGAAAGGAAATCAGTGCATACAGTCTTTAAAGAGCATGCTCCTCAGAGTGCTTAACAATGTCTTGCATATAGTTCTCATAACCATATCTGATACTAAGAAATAACATTAGCTTAGAAATGTAAAAATATTTTAGAAAAAATATTATATAAAATGAATACAATTATTTTCCTTAAGGTCTCAGAAAAAAAAAGATATCAATAATATTTGGCATGTAAGTTTGTACATTTAGTTTCGTAGAAATACATGTAAAGAAACTAGAAACAAAATTTCAGGGATAAAATTAAACACAGTGTTAATTAAAGTTCTGTCTGAAGAATTCATAATTTAATAAATGTTATGATCACATAGGCATTATAACAAAAACCAAACAGAAAACCCTTTTACAAGAACACTGCTCCCAGACTTAATACTGATTAGAAAGAGAAAGAGAAGAATACAAATTATAATAAGTGGTAGTGACACTTCAGTCTCAAGTCTCTAAAGAGGTCAAGGTAAAATATATTTTTTTTAAAAAAGAGAGTGAGATGAGATCATATCCTACAAAAAGCTACCATTAATTTCCAAACAATAAGATATAAAAAGGTGTTTTTAAAAACTGAATTAAAAATGGTGTTTTTAAAAATTGAATTAAAAATAAGCACCTGTTGACTTTTCAATTTACTTAATTGAATCTGACTCTTTAAATTTAGAATTATTACCCACAGATGTTCCACTGTAAACAATGCCCAGTTAACATGAGTGAGCCCCTAAATTACCATTAAAACAAGTCATTATAAATATACATTTCATTTATTATGTAATAAATCACTGCCATATATTTTGTTTTAATTTAAATGATATGATCTATTTTCACACACGGCAATTTTAGTTACCATATTCTAAAATGGTTATCAGGGCTAAAAAAGGAGACCACCCGATAGCTGCCAGAGGTAGCATGATACAAAAGGAACAAAGAGAGAGATCTGATTCCTATCTCATCTTCACCATGAACTACTAGGGTTAACATGATAAAGTTACACTTTCTAAAGTTTTATTTCCTTTCTTTTCAAAGACATGAACCACACAGACACAATTATGTAAACCATTCTTCTTAATGCCTGGCATATACAAAAAAATGCAGGTAACATTTAGGTGGTAGTATAATATAATGGTTTAGGAATGTGATTACTTGTGTCAAATCCCAACTCTGCCACCTACTTAGCTGCCTAACAATGGACCAATTATGTAATCTCCCTAAGCTTTAATTTTATTTTAAATAGAAAGTAGAATTATTAATGAGATATAAAGCACTTAGTAGTTGGTCAACAATAAACACAGGAAATGTTTATTATTATATTATCTTAAGTAAGCATTTAAGGTATTAAAATAATGTATTAGGTATCCTCTCATATACTCTTAAGTTGACAAAAAATAATTTCCAGCATTCTCAAGGGGTCAATATGTAATTAACCATGTTCGTCCAACATCTTTTTGAATGTTTTGTATGACAACTGATTAAGCCACTTCTTAAACAGAACTTAATGTAAATACAACTTAATATGAGGAAGAAATATAACTCGAAAAAAGAAAAAGCAATCACCCAGAAGATATGAAAAAATGACTTACTATTAGGAGCAGAAAAATAAATATTTTCAACTGTACTTACTATATAAATGCAAAAAAAATGAACCCTATAAAATAGCAGAAAATTATAAATAGAGAACAGGCAAATATTAAAAGACAAGTGGTGATTTTTTAAATGGAGATGGTTGAAAGAAGAAAGAATTTCAGGGACACAAAATGGAAAAGTTAAAATCTGTACAGGTTATAGCCCTGGCTCAGTGGATTGAGTGCCACCTGTGAACCAAAGGGTCACTGGTTCAATTCCCAGTGCAGGGCACATGCCTGGGTTGCAGGCCTGGTCCCCAGAACGGGACATGCGAGGTGCAACCACACATTGATGTTTCTCTCCCTCTCTTTCTCCCTTCGTTCTCCTAAGAATAAATAAAATCTTTTTTAAAAATCTGTACAGGATATAGAAAAAAAGTAGAAGTTGAAATAAAAAATGAAGCAGCGATGTGGAGAACACCTGAGAGTTCTTAAAATGTAGTTAACAAAAAGAAAAAGAAATGGAAAGTGATGAAAACAAAGGGGCATTTTCTAAAAACCTATAGCTAATATCCTACTTAATGATGAGAGAATGAATGCTCTCTCTCTAAAATTAGGAATAAGGCAGGATGCTTTGAATGTACCACTCCTTAACATCATATGAGAGATCGTAGTCAGTGCAGTAGAGCAAGAAAAACAAATAAAAGCTGAAAAGACTGGAAAGGAAGAAATAAAACTGTCTCTATTCATGAACAATAGAATGTCTACAAAGAAAATCACAAGGAATCCACACACACAAAAAAAGCTATAACTAATTAGTGAGTTTACTAACATCATAGAACACAAAATCAATATACAAAAATCAATTGTTTCTATATACTAGCAATGAACAGTTAGAAACCAAAATTTTAAAAAACTACTATCTACAACTCAAAAAAAAAAATACCCCCACTAAATACTTAGGTACAAATATAACAAAGTATGTGCAGGATCTGTAAGGATCATATGCTTATCCTTAAGTTATAGAGGCATATTTCAAACTGCAAAACACTGACATAAGAAATCAAAAAGGACCTAAATAAATGGAGAGAAATACTCGATACTCTTAAGAAGTCATTTCTCTACAAAGTGATCTATAAATTAAACATAATCTCAATCAAAATCCCAGCAGGCTTTTTTATAGATGCAGAAAAGCTGGTTTTCAAATTATATGAAAATGTAAAGAACCCTGACTGGTGTGGCTCAGTTGGTTAGAGCATTGTCCAGTACACCAAAAGATTTCGGGTTCAATTCCAGGTCAGGGCACATACCTAGGATGCAGATTCAATCCCAGTTGGTCTCGATACATATGGGAGGCAACCAACTGATGTTGCTCTTTCTCATCAATGTTTCTCTCTCTCCCTCCCCCTTCCTCTCTCTCTAAAAGCAATGAAAAAACATCCTCAGGTGAGGATTTAAAAAAAAAAATAGAAAAGAAAATGCAAAGAAACTAGAATAATAAAAAAAATGATGAAAAAAAAAACAAAGTGTACTCACAATTTCTGATCTTAAGGCTTAGTACAAAGTTTAAAAAGCTACAGTAATTAAGGCAGTGTGATACCAGCATAAAGATAGACAAATGGATCAATGGAACTAAATATAGAGTCCAGAAAAAAAAAAACCCACACAAATATGTCAAATGATTTTTGACAAAGGAGCAAAGGCAATTCAGGGACAAAATGATGTTATCAACAAATTATGTGGGAAAAAATGAACATCCCTATGCAGAATAAAAGAGCTTTGACTTGTACCTTATGCCTTATATAAAACTGCCTTAAAATGGATCTTAGACTTAAATGTAAAACATAAATCTATAAAACACTTTAAAAAAGAATCAAAAGCTTTAGCTCTGCAAAAGACACAAGAAAATAAAAAGAAATGCAGTGTACTAGGAAAAAACTTCTGTAAATCATATCTGGCAAAGGACATGCCCAGATTACACAAAGAACTCACAAAACTCAACAGAAAGCAAACACCCTGCACACGTTGTAACAACTGAAAAAAGAAAAAAAAACCCACGTGCATTTCTATATGCTGGGATTTGCACCTGTAATAGTCCTTTATGTTACTACCATGGAACTTCTTTGTGGATATACTTAGACAAACTGTTTGAATAGACACTTGACCCAAAAAATAAATAAATAAATAAACGGCAAATAAGCACATAAAAAGATGATCAACATAATTTGTTATTAGAAAAATGCAAATTAAAAACACAAGATACCGCTACAAACTTAATACAATGGTTTTAATGAAAACAACTGACAATACCAAGTGCTCAAAAGGATATGGATCTACGGGAACTTTCATATAATGCTGCTTAAATGCAAAATAATACCAACCCTTCACAAATTCTTCCAGAAAACAGAAGGGCAGGGACCACTTTCCAACTCATTTTACAAGGCCAGTATCATCCTGATAGAAATAAGACATCACTAAAAAAGTACAGCCTAATATTCCTCATGAATATAGACAGAAAAATATCTAACAAATTATTAGCAAATCAAATACAGCAACACATAAAAAGGATTACACATCATGACCAGGATTTCATCCAGGAATACAAAGTTGGCTGAAAATCTGAAAATCAATTACCAGTATGTTAATTCAAGGGAAAAAACGGCCATTAAGAGTGACTAAAGATAACTAAAGAACTCTGTGAGCATTTTTTGCTTCATATTTTTCCCAAAGTGTTCATTTTGTTCACTGTTTGTTACTCAACAAATATTGACTACGTTGTGCATGTAAGGCATTCTGCTAGGCACTAATACAGAAACACAAAAACAAATAATTATGTAATTTAGTAACATTACAATAAGTCTCATATACAGATACGCAGTTAAAAGACTAACTCCATCCAAGGCCTCAGGGGGAAAAAAGGTTTTCATTCCTATCCTTAAGTTATAGAGGCATATTTCAAAATGCAAATTAAAATTAAATCACATTGTGGTAGCAAACATGTATGAAAATAACTTTATAGGAATGCTGTCTATATACTTTCTTTTGCCTGACTCTACCTCTCTACAAAATATTACTACCCTAAAAACTTTCAGGAATGACAATCTATGCCATATATTACTGAAAAATATCTTTGAGGTAACATAACCTATACCTTTTGGGGAGCAAGAGTCCTCTGTCTGAATTTTTCAACTGTTTCTTGACCCATGGAAGACCAAGCATTGACAAATGCTTCTGCTTTGTCTTGTTTAAGGTGAACATTCTCTAACTGCTGCTGCAAAGCTGCTGGCTTCACGTTGTAATATACTGCCTATTAAAAAGAAAAAAAAATTACATGTATCTCTAATATTCATACAGAGACCTTGATCTGTAATCAAACACAAAATATTAATTTAAATCAAAAGAGTATTTTATATTTCTATTGCATAAAATTTTTATTATTTTACAAATGATACACCATTCCAAGGACCGAAAGATTAAGTGACCTAAATTTTTCCGGCTAAACTTTTTTGGTTTTACCTGAGGTGTAAGCAATCTTAAATCCACCTAACTGAAAAACTTCTTTGCTTTAGCTACGTAAATGTTACCCTCATTGAAGTTTTATTTTCTGGGTTCTCCCACCACCACCGTCTGGGCCCAAGCAGCCTGGGCAGACAGAGAAGCGCAGCAATCAGGCAGCCCAGGTTTAGGAAGGGGGAAGGTCAGCTCCATCAAGGGGGCAGCAAAGGAGGAGCCAAAGAGCAGATCAGCAAAACTGTCAGCTAAACTTGCTCCACCAAAAGTAGAGACAAAGTCAAAAAAGGCAGCAGGGAAGAATAAATATCCAGACAAAAAAGAGGAAAAGAAAGGGAAAAGGGAGCAAAGGGAAAACAGGCCAAGCTGGCTAACTTTGAACCTAAATAAGATCTCCCTGCAGAAAACAGTCTAAAAATGAGAAGAGTCCAGCCTCGGATGCAGCAGAAAAGAAAGATGCCGTCTGATTATTACATATCATGCTTTAACAGTGGTACCTCTCTCCCTTGTTATATTATCCAGAGGAATATTTTTATCAACTCTTGTAAATGCAAGTTTTTTAATAGCTCTAGGAACATTTTTAAGGAGGGAATTCCACCTCATCCCACTTTTTTTTAAGAATAAATTTTTTGTAAGAGGTGAAATCATTTGCTCCTTTTTATTTTTTGGTACAATGAGAAAATAGTGGGATATTAAAATTGAGAATCTTTGATTGTCTTGGGTGTCAGCTTAACATTCCACAGATGGGGTTAGTTTTTATATCCTATAATACAGTACAAAGCATACCAAATGGCAATTTGGAATCAGTCTTGCATTAAATGTCCTGAACAATTTAAATTACTTCTATTCTCATGTTTTTGGTAGAACTGTTTCCTCAAGAAAATCACTCCTTGATCTTGTCTCCCCCTTCAGAATTTTGTGTACTCTGTAACATCTTTGGTGTGGTAGTCCAGTACTCCTAGTAATTTTGTTAATGTGCTGTGAAAGATTGAAAATTCGATTATGTAATATATAAAATAGTAAATGTGAATTAGTGGGATTTTGATATATCAACATTTGAAGATATTAGTACTTGATACTCTATTAAGGAAAATTAGCCCCCAAATTTTAAGCTGGGAAGTTATTGGAATAACTGTTTGAAAAAGAATAACAACTACATGACTTTCGGTTTTTGGTACATATGTTAAGAATTGTGTACAAACTGAAATGTCTCTTTACTTATCCTCAAAACAACCAATAAAATCCCAATTATGAAAGAAAAAAATTTTTCATTTCTTTATTTCACTTAATTATTTCAAAGAAGTATACAATGGTTTTGTCCCCCAACTAACAAAACTTTCCAAGAAGTACTTTCTTGTAAAAACTACCTTCTATCAACTTCCTAAATAATATAAAATATTGTAAAAATTTTAAGAGTAGTATCTGTTCTACTGCTTACATTATTCTGGAACAACTTTCTCATAAACCCCATGCTGCTCTGTCTTATTTGATAACCCTTGTCTTCTCCTGAAAGCCCACCAAGGATAGTCATCTTTATGATCTGTAATCTGCATAAGTTTGTATGTAGTAGATGTCTGGAAGCTTGTCCTTTTAGATTTTATTTATTTATTTCTTTTAGTGAGGGGAAGGAAGGGAGAAAGGAAGAGAAACATCAATGTGTCGTTGCCTCTTGCATGTCTTTTTTTCTGAGATTTTACTTATATCCTTTTAAAAATATCTGATACTAGAATGCTCATGAAGCTACAGTACTATTTAAAATTTAATTTCACAAGTATTCTATTTAATCAATCAACAGGAATTTATTGAGATTCTATTTGAAGCCCAGCAATGTGCTAGATTTATATAAGATGCATGCGTGCACGTGCACACATACAAGATCCTGGCCCCCCGCAAATACAAAACAAAGTGAAGAAGGTATCACGGACATCCATGAAATAATGAAAGACAAACAAAGTGCTCTACTATGATGAGCCACAGATAAAAGGAATCCAAACAAGGGGAAGACTGCAAGTATAAGAGGTCAAGGCTACAAGGGAAGGAGATGTGACTTAAAGGAAACATAAAATAAACGGAATTTAGATAAAAAGAAGAGGTATAGAAGGACAGCTCAGTATGAAGAAATAATACGACAAATTCCTTTGACAGCTACTTCTTTTCTAAATGTTTCATTTATCATCTTAGTCAAATCCCCCCAAATCATTTAGTAATAATTTTAAATAGAGTATTTATTTTTCCAAGTTATTATACCAAGTAACAATGAATTAAATGTCTCAAGTAAATAAAGTCTTGATTCACATTGTCAAAACATTTTACTCACATTATTCAACATTAAGACTTTTTTAGAATGCAATACCGTGGGGTGGAGAATCACACATTCAAGTATTTTTTTTACTACATTGAAATTCTTGCTTAATATATATTCACAAGTTACATCTGCATACTTTTAAAAAAATGTTATACATATCATAGCAATACAAACATGTACTAAAGAACAATGGTTAGAGAGTTTGGGACAATAAAAATACCTGTTCTAAAATGAATGATATTGTTTCAAGAACTAGGTGAAGATCTTGTTTCTCTAGAGAAAATGCAGCTTGAAGTTTTTCTTCCTCTTCTTCACTAAAACTGTTCTCAGCCTACAATACAAAAAGCAATCTATTAGCACACATTCAGGTATTCAAAACTCAGATACTCAAAAGAAGATTCATTTAGTCATACACGGAATGAGAATCTGAAAGAAAATGTAAATCCTAGGTAAAACAAACTCATGTGTTTACAAATTTCAATATTTCAAAATCACTGCACAGTTAAATATCTGGATCTTGCCAGATAAAGTTCATTTTTTAAAAACAGTATTTTAAAATATATAGAGGTGAAAAATAACAGTAAATACCATAACTAATGAACATTTATAAAAAGCTAGAATGTAAAACCTCAAAATGTTAACAATTAATATAATTCAAAAAAAATAATAATAATAATTTCCATCTTTACTCATTCAAAATATTTACTGAGGACCTATTATGTGCTACATAGACAATTCATGTCCTTAGGTATACCAAACTCTAGTTAAAAAGACACATAAAAACACCGATAAGCTACCCCCTTTTATTTTGGTCCATATAGAAGAGACCAATTCTTTTGTGAAGGACTGTCCTGCACATGTGAGACCTTTAAGGTCCCAGAGCACTGATTGCCAGCAGCACCTTCCACACACTGGAACAAGCAAGAAAGGCCTCAGGCATTTCTACATGCTAGGGTTTACACATGTTATTGTCCTTTACGTTAATGAGACTTCTCTACCTATCATAATGGAGAAATACAGTGGTACTCACAAATGAATCTATCAAATAAATGAACTTTATTTTAAAAATTTGGAAGAAATGTTTCTAAAATGTATGGTTTCTATTCTAGAATTTTGTAATCAAAGTATATCGGACTAAACTAATGCTTGTGCTGCCTCAGGTCATAATTACATGGATCAAGGTTCTGTGTTGAAGTATCCTAAAGAACTCCTAAATACGTCCACAATTTTTCGCTTCAGTAAAAACACCCCTCAGATTTCTGTGCTTTTGTATTTCTTCTGTCTGATTTTCCTAATCCTCCCATTTCATTCCATGACCAAAGGTCAATTCTTTAAACCGCCTTACATGCTTCATCACCGCAGCCCCTCCCTCCCCCAGTTCACTGTTTCCGGTCCACCATGCCAGGAACCCAGACACCCGACCTCTCAGAACTAGACATACAGCAGTTTCATTAACAGGCTTTGTGTGAGGACCTAAGTGTCTCTCCTACAGAAAAAAGCACATGAGTTTTTTGGTTTGGTTTTTTTTTAATTGCATGAGTTGTGACAGTACTTTTTGAAACACAGAAGCCATGAATGTTTATTTCTAAGTCCCCAGCTATGGCAGTTGGTCTGACTTCCCTCAGTATTTCCCCCTGCAGATTCTATGAGCGTGATGGATAGGACAATCTTTGTGCTGGACTGTCCTGCACATCTCCCTGGCCAGTTCAAAGAGGACTCCCAGACCCATGCTTAGGGATGCCCATATCCTATACCTAAGCTGTCTTAGTTTCCCCATGTTTATTCCTACTAGGGTTCCAAGGAATCAGTCTAGACAAAAACAATTCTCTCTGCCCATAAACAGATTAAGCCTGGTAAAATCAATGTGCCAAACTGGTATCATTTAGTATAGCAACCAAATCCCTAAACCTCTTCATCGATCTACCTGTATCAGGTTTCACTGCTCTAAGGGCTCTGCTGTTGGAAGGCAAAGGCCAGCCTGACAAGAGTAAACAAAAGCAAGCTGGCAGATCCTAAATGTCCCTACAAACTTTATTCGATAAGAGCTCTTACTACAACAGGAGCCCTTCTGGAAGAACATTCCCTGAAACTGTCCAGGAAAAATGGAAAAAGAAAAAAACAAAAACACTGCACCCTTTCCAGACTCTCTTTCTTACAATGCAAATATTCATATATGCATGTTTCTGTCCTCAGTTGCTCCAGCTCTCACTAACCACACCTCCTCACCTTTACTCCCCTACCTTGAATGGCACAGCATTCAAGCATCTCTGGCATGCTTCAGCCACTCAATTACTCCAAGACAAGTATTAACATATTGTCAGCTGCAGAGGTAACTGACAGGGTCGAAGGCAAACTACACATCACAGTTTTCCCTGCAAATATTCCATCGTCCCTCAGTAAGAAAAATGAATGATGTATACAAGGTTTGACCCACATTGTTTTATATGTATTCTTAAGACGGCAGCCGCCTAACAGTTTAGGGAATCAAAGCAGAACATCTGTATAAAGTGCCTTCATCATTTTCTTTTAGACTGATTTATATACTATTTCATACTCTTTTCTGAGATTTATTGTAATGGATTAAAGAGATAGATTCTGGATAGATTCTAGTTAGCTGTGTGACCTTGGGCAAATTATTTAACTGGTCTCTATCTCAGTTTCTTCACCAATAAAATAAAGATGACAATAGTACCTACTTTCTAAAGTTGCTGTAAGGATTAATTCTACTATGAGTTAATAATACAAAGCCAGTAGAATGGTAGCAATCACAGAGGGAGCAATGTACCTATAAACAGTAAATTCCTTACAGACAGGAATGTAAAAGACTTACACTTATTTTGCGTTTCCTATGGCAAGGAAAAGAATTCGCTCCAAGAATAGTTACTGAATGCTGACTGTATAAGTATCGGTGTATTAGGTAAAGAAAAAGATGAATAAGATATGGTACTCAAGGTCAGAGAAAGACCCTGTAACCATGAAACAAATACTTATAACGCAGTACTAAAGTGAGGTGATAATGAACCAAGTGTTTCAGAAGCAGAGAAGAAAGGATGACTGCAGAGAATAAGACTGTAAAATCCCTGAAAGATGAAAACTAGTTTATTCACTAAAGGGAAGAAGAACATTGCAGGTAAAGGAAAGAGTATGAACATTGTAGGTAAAGGAAAGAACACACACACACAGCTGAAAAAGTCCATGGTACATTCTAGTAAAAGAGCATAGTCCAGTGTGACTAGAGAACTTACAAATGGGGCAGAATATAGTTTGTAGCCATATTATAATGTTACTAAAATATAATTTTAAGGATTTTGAACTTTTTTCCCATGGGGCAATGGAAAACCACTTATGGCTTTGATATGATCAATTCTTTTTTACGAAAATAATTTGGATAAATATTTGTTTCCAAATGAAATTATGAAGAAGCAATAGGAACGGAGAGACTAAAGGCTTCAAGATACCAGTTTGAAGGTAATTATCGTGTCCAAGGAAGATAATGAGAATCTGAAGTAGGACTATAAAGAGAACTTTGATTTGAGAGAGAATTCAGAGGGAGAAAGGGCTTTGGGGCTGACTCCTGGCTAGGAGAAAAAGAGGAAAGAGCCCAAGTGTTTGTTTAATAGTGATGTCTGGCACCAGGCAGAACAGTTAGTGGGTGCTCCTTAAACATGTGATGGATGAAATTAAATTTTTATAACCTGATAAAAAAAGTTAACAGATTGGTGAGCAAGCAATGAGTTCCTAACCCTTGAAATAAAAGTGAAGATTAAACAAAAGATTAAATACTGATGAATTTACCATACCAAAGCATTATTTTTAAGAGGAATAGTCACTAAAATCAAAATTTTCCCAAAGCATGTTCCACAGAACCTTAGACCCAAAATATATACCATGATAAAAGTTCCAAGGTCAAACACATCTGAAAAATTTTGCACATTATATTCACCCTTTAATATTTACCATAAATACTATCATGTAATATACTCTGAAAAGTTCCATAGTAAAATATTAATTTTAATGAAGACAGAGCTTCCCAAACCTTTGACCATGGGACATTATCAAACTTTCTAAGGACCTGGTGCTCTCAAAGACACACTGGGGAACACTATACTTTGCAAAAAGTTCTTTAAGTAGAAACAGATTTTCAGTGGAATTGCAAGAAAGTATTGTAAGTTATAGAAATGCAAAAGTACAAACCTTCAGGTGAAGTTTCTGAAGAATTCGGATGAGCAATCTTGGAAATCTTCCTATATCTATTGCATTTATCAGCGACACTGCTTTTTTCATGCTAAATAAATTAGTAAAACAAAGTTTTTAAGTGAGCTTTCCAAGTGGAACAGCACTTGCCTTAAGTACAGTTGTCTATAACTGCAGTTGTTCGTAAGTTTTCATTTCAACAACTCTGATTACTATGCGGTAAGCCTGAGTGAAATATGGAAAAACAGATAATGGCCAGCAAAGAAGGGAGGCTATTTCCTAAAAGACGCCCCCCAAAAACACTATTGTTGAAAAGATCTATTTGGAGAATTTTGTCTTTCTTTTGGGCAAGGAAAACTACTAGAGGAAGCCTGCACTCTGTGGGGAATGGCATTAATTTAGCAGTATGCGTTTAAGTAACCACTTAACCCAAAATACAGTCCTGAAAACAGTGGGGGGGGGGGGGGCGGGAGTGGCTATTACACCAAAAATATAAAGAATGCTGCCTGGCAGATAATAGAATTAAAAAAAAAAAAAAACAAAACCTACATACCAAAATCATTTGGGATCACTACGTGCCCAGCTGTTTTAAAATCTTCAATGTAATAATTAACTTTAAGGTATGTGATAAGAACAATTCTATTGTACCATGTTATTATGGTTTACTTATGTGGTGTGTTGTTACCCAGGACAGTGGTGTGAAGCAAAGAACTGGCTGCCAGAACTCAAGGAATCCAGGAAGAAGGAAAACTTTAAAATGACAACTCTGTTCTTTAAAATTCCTGCCGAATCCAGGTACAAAGTTTTTGTTCAACCTCAAGTATTTGGTTACATATTGGGTTGGACAAAAAAATTCATTACATTTTCTCCATAAAAGTCACATTTTTCATTTTCACCAATCACTTTACTAATACGGGTATCTCCCACTATTGTCTTCCAGTAGGTAGAGGCCAGGGGTGCTGCTGAACATTTCTAATGCATAAGACAGCCCCACAGCAAAGGATTATTTGGCCAAATGTCAACAGTACCAAGAAACTTTGAAATCCACTTTTGACATGTTCGGTCACAGCACCTTCTCCATACACTGCACAAATCTTTTTTTGTACTTGTTGCATTTTTACTTTTCTTGAAATAATAAAGCATAATATGCCGAAAATATTGTGCAATTTTCTTTCATCTTCAATATTAAAATGGCTGCACAAAAATTCATGAATTTTGATAAGTTTTTTTAAATGCACACTGACATAACAGCTGTTACAATACAACCTAAAAAAATTGTTTCGAATGATGTTAAAGACAACTAAGCTCTAACACTAGGGCCATCCTACTGAAAAAACATAACAGACTTTTTGGCCAACCCAGTACTTCAGTACTTTTTCTGCATCCACACACCACCTCACTATAATTTAATTACTGTCCGTTACATGGAGTCATTTTTACTTAAATGATTTTATTTTAAAAGTGAATGTCGTATCACCACCATGGACAGCCAACCCTAACACAGAGATTAACTAAAAATAAACAAAATGAAAACAAAAGCAATGCTACCAAATTATGACTACATAATGTTACCAGCCCAAAAAACGACTGGCCTGAGGTCTATTCTATCTTGGTGGAAATGGGATACTAACACATGGTAGGTTTAAAGACCGCCCAGCACCAATGGGAGCCTTTCTCATAATCAGAAGGTCTGAAAGAGAATTTAAAACGTAAACGGAATACCCTCCCACGTTATCCAGCATTACTCCAGGGAGGCCTGAGTACTGCTAGACATTACATTCCGCGACCAGTGACAGCTACCACACGAGGCAGTACCGCCCTCAGCTGCCAGACGCACTGTTACCTGCGTAGGGAAACCACCACGAGGTGGAGAGGCAACAGTCCCGCGCACTCTTGCGGGACCCACACTGCAACTTAAACATCCCCCTGTCCACCCCTCCCGACGCGAATCCCGCGTCAGCGCCAAGGTGACAAAGAGCAGGGGCATCATTGCACCGACCCCGGCCCCGCCATCGAGAGGACGGCTACCAAAGTGCCCAGCCAGACGGCTACCTGGGGCTCTCCCGCAGGATCAGTGCCGCCGACGCCGCCATCCTCGAAGCTCCCTCGCCGGGAGACTACCAGTCAGCTGCTCCCAGCCCAACCAATGGCGGCCGCGGCGGACGGATACCCGGAAGGGCCAAGCCGCGCAGCTGCTTCCCGGGACTGCTGGCTACTGTGGACGCTGCTCCGGATCCTGTCCCACGATCCTGTCCCACGATCCTGTCCCACGATCCTGTCCCACGATCCTGTGGGATCGAAAGAGCATCGCCGCCCTCAGCCTTGCCTGTCTAGCCTGTTCAGAGTTCGGGCTGTACGCGTATTAATACATTTATATATGTATATTTAATAATTATATATACCTGGATATGGATGTGTATTTTTTACATATTTTGTATGTAATAGGTGTATAAGCATACGAATATTTAGGCGTGTGTATACGTGCATATCACACACACGGTCTGCAGGGCGCCACGTGGAGCTTGCAGTATGTATCTTCATTTGTTCAACAGTATTCTTTGAGCGCCTACTATGTGCCAGGTGCTGTGCTAGGCTCTTGGGATACAAAAGACCAAAATTTCTGCCGTCTGGGTTTGACCACAGCACGAATGGACAGGATTTGTTGCTCACTTTTCGAGGGCAGGCACTAAGTTAGCTACTGCATAGTGGGAGAGTTAAAACACCACAAAGATTGCCATTAAGGACCTCACAGGAGAATAAGGAGGGAGACAACACGCGTTCACAAATACTTTGGTTTACCTCAGAGAAAAACTTGTAGCACATTTGGGGAATTCAGAGGTGGAAAAAGTGAAAAGGTATCAGAGGTAGGATCAGGGCAGCTGCCATGAAGAAGCCTTGAGTAACATGTTTTGGCATGTGCACTTAATCTGGTGAAAAATTGAGAGCCATTAAATGTTTTCAAGCAAAGAATTCTTTTGTGTGTGTGATGAGAGCTGGGTTCTTTGTTTTTGCTTGTTTGTTTGTTTGTTTTAAGATTACTGTCAGCAGAATAATGATTGGATTGGAAAAATGTAAACAAAAAAACCAGATAGGAAACTTGCAATAATCTATGGAAAGCAATAAAATCCTGTGGTAGTAAAATGACATTAGAGAATAAAAAGATAATGGATGGATTAGAGTCACTTCTCAGCTGTAGAATCTTCAGGAGCTGGCAAAGGATTGAATTTAATTTTCCTACCTAATTATGTTTTACTTAAATTATTATTTAAATTAGTTGGCATTCCTACAGCAGCCCAAAAACATCCTAATGGAAAGAAGCCAGATTGCAAATTAAAAGTCAATAATACCTACATGGATAATTGAGTCAATTATACAAATATATTTAGTTTCACAACACTCCACGTACTCTCCAATTGCTGCAATATGTAAAAAAGATGTATGTGAATCTACATAAATTATAAGTTCTGATACAAACACATTACCCTACCTGCCACGACTTTAAGAGTCCCAATTCAATCACCTTTTGAATCATATCCTACTTGTCTTGATTTCATTGCCTGAAGTAGAGGCACTAGCCAGCAAAAACACTTTTGAATCTCTAGTGAAGTTTCCATCCTCCTTGGTTGCTTTCAAACATAGCTACAATTTTGAGCAAAAGAGCTTCAAGCTAATTTGAATCCTGGATCAATGTAACCTGGAACAAAGCATTTAACCTCACTGTTTCCCATTCCTGACCTGCAAAATGGGGGTGAGAACGATGTCTGCTCTTCTGCACTGTGGTGAGAATTAACAGTAATGTGATGCATGTGTACAAGAAACACACTGCCCTCCCTTATAAAGCAAAGCACAGGCATCTAAGTTTTTAGAAAAAGAGGGTCTCCAGTGGATATAGAGGCCTCTCATTCTAATATTTTCATTTCCACTGCTGGGTGATCATTCCTTACTGCCACTTGCTATAAAGCTTCATGTGGTACATAATTTTACCCCTTAAATGAGAGCCTCACCCAAAATATTTCTGTGGTCTCTGGCATATAGGCATATATATCCATGAAAAACTCCTTATAATTGTCTACCTGTTGTTACCGACTAGAAAACAGGAAATGTACCTCCTGGAGATATAATTCCATAACCATACTTTACCCCTACCCCCCAAACTTGTCATCCCATCTTTATGATGGATCTGGAGTCTAGATCTGCTGCCCCTGATCTATTATGGCTGTTAAACATGCTGAATGTCCCAAAGTTTCTTTCATGCTCTTGCCTTCATTTTAAACTTCCACCAAGTCCACCTTAAAAAAAAAAAAAATTCTGTGTTAGCCTGGATTCGAGAAAACAACCTAATTACATATTAGTGCTTCATGGAGCACTATAACTGCAGGGAAGTATAAGTTAGGGCAAAAGGGAAGGAAAGAAAGGAAGCAAATACAAGGTCATGTGTTATCCAGCTGGTTACAACTTTAAAACTTAGCTCATTTCTCAGTACTGTGGGATGTTTCCAGGGAGACTATGTTGAGTCACTGTGTCTTGGAACAGCCAGGAGGTAGGAGTGAAGGAAGGAAATTTGTCTGCAGACTCTTTCATATCTCCTCTCTCTTCTTGCTCAAAATTTGTCCTATGGCTTGTACCTCCCTGTACTTCTGGGGTATGTCACCTGGTGCCTCTAAACAAGCACTGGGAAATCTAGAGCTCGCATGAGTCAAGCCTGGAAAAGTAGGACCCAAGTCCTGGAACTGTAGAAGAGGAGTCCATGGCCCAATCCCTAACTATGCCCACCTCCAGATGTCGCCTGTCCTACCCTCTAATAAAGGTGACAGCACATGGCAGGGGCTTTCAGACTATGGGAAGTGTTCAGAGTTCTTTCCCAGGGGCCTCTTACTGGGGAAGTGAAGCAACCCACTGAAGCCTGGGATGCACTGAGGCTGAGCATACCTGGGGAGGTATATAACTTGGAGACAGTTTTACTTCTTGAGTGGATTCTCAACACAAGAATTGCTTGGGTCCAGAGTGCTTCACCTCTTCAATGATGTAGTTTTTCAGTTCACATATGCTTAGTTGTTTACCAAATAGTCTGTCACAGCACAGGTTGGAGTGACCGTGGTGATAGCCCTACACTGTGTCGCAAGAGTTAAACTTCCTTCTCGGTGTGACTTTGGCCCTGCTTAGAGCCCCTCCCTTCTGGTGAGCTTCTTAAGGACGCCACACAGTTTCCTGCAGTATAGCCTCTAAGGTCTGAGCTTCCCCCCCAACCCCAGAAATCTCCAACCCTTAAGTAAACCCTGAGTATATCACAAAGTCTTGTCCAAACCCATTCTTCGACATTCCAGCCACAAGTGAAAATGATATCTTTGGAGGAAGGGTAACACCTATTTACCTGCCAGAACATCTAAAACCCCAGAAACTCAGTCCAGCTGAAATGACCTTTTATGTAAGCTCTTGATATATATTGTCAAATTGGGGGTATAACATTCCGTTATGTACCCCAGATATTTCTGACAGTGAGTTAGATAGGTACCTGGCCCAGGTCCTTAATATTGTACAATCCTGTAAACCTACAACTCACCTTGAGTTTCTCGGGCACATTTATCAAAAGTAGCTTAGTGCCACATACTGCAGAGGGCTAGAACTACCAGCTACCTGCATCTTATCTCCAGACGACTGTCAAATACAAAATTAGTATTCAGTTGCTTCATGACATTCACTTACAGAAGCCACTGGCCCAGTTTCCCCCTCACCACCATGCGGGCCCACCCCTCCCGCTCCCCACACCCTCGCTCGGTGAGTGTTTAGCCTGTTTCTAGCTCAGCAGTCAGCACTCGCCTCAGATGTATGACAGCGTCATTTGGGATATAAACAAAGAACACCCTTCTAAATGGTTAGTGTGTAATTGTGTGTTCTACATCTTCTCTCCAGTGTCTCAGGGGAATGAAATTTTTAAATTACATATTTTTATTTACGATTTGGTTATATGAATGTTCCTATTTAATGTAAGATATATCAAAAATAAAGAATGCATGAATATAATCTATCCTTTGAATATTTACATACCAGCCTGTGATGTGGAAAGGAAGCAAGAAGCTTAGGGGGAAAAAATGGGAAAAACAGTATTAAAGTTTCAGACCAATTTTGCCCATAAAAACATTATTTATGTTCACCTACCTCAACCAAATGGAGGAGGAGGAAGTGTATGGGAGGTAAATTTTTATTAAAATGTAGCAAACATATACTTTGTGATATATGAACAGATCCCTTTCTATTCTATTCTCAAACTTAAAGTTGAACACCATCTCAAATTATCACCCCTCCATTTCAATTTACACCTAGTTCCCTCTATTCTACCCCCAAGAGGCCTATGCCATTAACAGGACTGATATTTACATGTATGATGTGAGAGACATTGAATGGCTTCTTTACTAATTTTCACCAGTGAACACAGTTTGAAAAGAATTAGATGTTACTCTCCATAGAGGCATATCAAGTGAGGCATGACTACAAATCCTCTTTTACCTAATGACTTACTTAAGGAAATAAAAATAGTAAACAACAGAAATAGACAATAGAAAAGGAAAAATCCATCCATCGACAAGAGACAAATCAGGAAAGAAGCATAACTTAATAACACACTTGAAAAAAGTGTCTTCCAAGAAAAGAAACTTCATCTACCTGTACTAGCTAAGTGGAGTCGAAGGTGATTCCCAACCTGTTGAAACAGATACCTTGGCAGGATGTCCACAAGGCCATGAGAACTCTCTCTACAGCCCCCAATTTGGAGAGGAGCAGAACGGGAAGTAAACAGGCAGCCTAGGGGAGGTCTTGGGAAATCCCTGGAGAATATGAATCTCTGAGGCACAATGCAGGATGCATTGGAGGCCAGAGGAACCACCAGGAGTCACTCTTTTGGTGCCCCTTCTGGAAAAGCAGAGCAGTAGGAAGAATAAAACAAAACCGCATATAACATCCCACATGATGAATAAGGATCTAGAAATTTGAAAAGAGAGCATAAGAATAAAAGAGACTCTGAAGCAAAAAGCTAGGAGAAAAGGTAATATTGAAGCCCCAGTGAAATAACTCTTCTCTCAACCTGCCCCACGCATGGCTAAATTAAAACTGGCTGAAATCCACAGT